GTCAGCTGGTCTTCGACCTTGACTTAAGCACGCTGGTTCCAGTATAAATTCATGATGATCCGAATGTCCTTCTCATCCAATCCTACTCTTTTTAGGGTGGTGACCATCTTCTGGTGCTGACAACGGTCAAATGCCTTGGAGTAGTCAATAAAACAAATATAGACATCACAACTGACATCGCGGCATCTCTGAAGTAGGACTTGTAAGGTGAAAAGTGCTTCACGTGTACCCATGGAATTGCGGAATCCGAATTGCATTTCACCGACATTTTCTTCGCATTTCTTGTAAATTCTGGCATGTATGATTTTAAGAAAAAATTTAAGGGCATGACTCATAAGACTGATAGTTTGGAAATCTTCGCACGTTTTTGCAGATCGTTTTTTTGGTAGTGTTGCAAATGTTGACAATAGCCATTCCTCTGGGATGTTACCTGAATCGTATATGGCGTTGAACAGTTCAGTTAACTCCTTCGTGCTCGCTTCACTCATCACCTTAATAAGTTCAACGGGTATTTCGTCCGGACCTGTAGCCTTACGATTCTTAGACTGTTTTAAAGCCGCCTTTACCTCGCTTTCTAGAATTGACGGCTCTGTCATGCAATTTATTTCCGGAAGGTTGCCTCGGTCGTCCCAGAAAAGTTCTCTGATATATATATTTTCCAGGTAACCAACTTCTCATTCACTGTCGTCGCCAGATTACAGTCTTTATTTATGAGGAGGTGTGTGTTTCTCCTCTTGTATTGACCAGTGGCTTCACGAATCTATCGGTGGATATTTATATGATCGTGTTTCTCTTGGAGCTCCTCGATTAGTTTACATTTTTTTTGCATCCATGTCTCCTTGGCTCTTCGTATTTCTTTTTTAATTGTCTGGTTCGTTTCTTGGTATTTCTTCGCGTCCCTGTTTTTCATTAATCTTTTTTGTTCCATCATCTGCAGAATGTCATCAGTCATCATCTGCAGAGTGAACGTAATCCTTGAGTTTTTATTCGAATTTGTTCTTTTCCGTTCCAAATCGTATGCAAACTGTTATTGATGTTATACTCGTAATTTTTATTGTTTTGTAATTCGTTTCGATATTACACTATGTTCTTTTGTATCCTTCTAATTAAATAAATTCTTATAAGGAATTAAGCAGTAATTTTTTGTTTTAAAAAAGAAAGATATTGAGTGTACAATATGAAATATCCAATGAATTTTTACTTCCGAAAATTTATAGATTGACCACTTTTTGCCAGTCAGTGTAGCTTAAATCTAAAAACAATATTTCCAAAATAGTTGAAGGTACGTATGGGATATTGTATATAAAATATAAAAGGAAAAGAAATTTAATCTTTGCAGATAAGTTAAATAGTAAACTCTTAAATATTGGGAAAATCTGCAAGAAAAACTCTAATGTGTTCTAATTGTTTCGCCTAACGTTTTCGCCAAAGAGAATTAATTTGACTTCTTCAGGGCTGAAAGAGAATAAATTATAATTAAAAAAAAGAGGTTAGTCTTCGTACGTGGGTATATTTATTTAAAAACCATTAAAAGGGCTACATCAATAAAACAAACGTTTTCGGACTAAACAGTCCATCATAGGTTTAAAATCGCTAGGTTAAAATGCCTGAGCCACCAAAAATACATGGGTAAAAACCCTTTAAATTACATATAGTTATAAAAGATTATACATCTTGTTAAAAAACTGTGATGTTCAGTAATAAAGTAAATATGACTTCAGGTAACATACATTGCAAAAATTGAGTTCCAGAGCCGGGGAGAAAACCTCTACGCACGGAGAACAGCTGGAGGCTGTTCAGTTTCCAGCTGTTCTCCGTGCGTAGAGGTTTTCTCCCGGCTCTGGAACTCAATTTTTGCAATGTATGTTACCTGAAGTCATATTTAATTTATTACTGAACATCAGAGTTTTTTAACAACAAGATGTATAATCTTTTATAACTATATGTAATTTAAAGGGTTTTTACCCATGTATTTTTGGGGGCTCAGGCATTTTAACCTAGCGATTTTAAACCTGATGATGGACTGTTTAGTCCGAAAACGTTTGTGTTTTTGATGTAGCCCTTTAAGGGGTTTTTAAATAAATATACCCACTTACGAAGACTAACCTCTTTTTTGTGATACGTGGTATACAGCCAGCTACAGGAATTGTTTTCCTTGTGGATTTTAAATTATAATTAGCTATTATCTAATAAAAAACATTTACCTTACCGTAACTTTTAGAAATGTCGAGTTATGATGTTAAAAAACTTTAGCTAGTAAAAACATAGTGGTGTTTTTTGTTACTATGTGCAAAAAAGTTATTTTTGTTAACGTTGGAAATGTATGGTAGCTTTGGACTTAAAACGCAAAGGTTTACCCAAGGTTAATCGAAAAACCCAATGTAACTACATTTAAAGAAAGTAATTCTTTGAATTGTCGGCAATAACTAAATTTTTGATTGTTATAAAGTTTGAATGTGAGGTTCTGTTTTCATAGAAAGCAAGCGCTGACAATTACAAGTAGTTTTTTTTGAATATTTATGTCATTAAGGTTAATTGGTAAAACCGATGAAGTTAGATCCCAGTCTGGGGAGATATTAGTTTAGAATTTTCTTAATTGAAATTCTTTTTTAATTTAATATATTGTTCATGTATTATTATAATAATATCTTATTGAGATGTATCTAAGAAAAGCAAGGGAATGTTATCTTTTTTAGTTAATGAAAATTATTATTAAAGTAGGTTAGTTGTTAATAGATATATCAGTCAAGTTAGTTATCTGTGATGTTGTATTGTTCTTGGTATCTGATTTAAGTAAGAAGTGGTATATATCGCTCAGATTCTTAATGTCACTCTTAACATTGATGGAAAAATCGTTAAGGAAAATATAAGACATTTCAATGAACTCTCTTTTAGATTTATTGTTCTCACGGTAAAGAATTGTAGTGTTCGTATAGTCCATGTGATGACCAGTGGAATGGACATGTTTGGCTAATGCACAGCGGTCAGGGTCAAGTCGAGAATCACTTTTGTGTAGTGTAATACGTGATTTCAATAATTGAGATATTTGACCGATGTAGGAATTGCTGCAAGAGAGGCAAGGAATGTTGTAGATAATATTACTAAGCCTATCTATGGGAGTCTTATCTTTTATCTTCGAATAATTGTTAGGGCTGATCTACAAGCCTAGTTAAGGTATCAGTTAGTCAGGTATATGACAAGGTAGATGAACTATTAGACACCTTTAATAGTTATGACCCCTACATCCAGTTCACTATAGAGATGGAAGATAGTAATTGGTCCGTCCCCTTTCTCGACATAAGGATGATTAGGGAAAACAACAACATTAAAATAGATTGGTATCAAAAACCGACACATTCTGGTAGATACCTTAACTACCACTCTTACCATAATAACTCTACCAAAGTCAACTTAATCAAACAGATGAAAAATAGAGTAACTAAACTACCAGATCCTTCATTTCATACAAAAAACCTACAAATCCTTCAGAAACTTTGTATTTCAAACTCTTATCCAACACCATTAGTAAATAAGATTTTATTTAATACTATCCATAACGAAGATACTTCACCTTTCATCGTGACTAACAATGCTGATCCTGATATCTTAAGTGGAAACCCAGTCTCGGATACTCCTATCAATAATTATTTTTCATTACCCTATTTCAGAGATATCACTCCGGGGTTAACAAGGATTCTAAAAAGTTTTGAAAATAGCTTTGGGAATAATAAAACATTAAACTTAATGTGGCTTGTAGATCAGCCCTAACAATTAACAATCTTTATTCGAAGATAAAAGATAAGACTCCCATAGATAGGCTTAGTAATATTGTCTACAACATTCCTTGCCTCTCTTGCAGTAATTCCTACATCGGTCAAATATCTCAATTATTGAAATCACGTATTACACTACACAAAAGTGATTCTCGACTTGACCCTGACCGCTGTGCATTAGCCAAACATGTCCATTCCACTGGTCATCACATGGACTATACGAACACTACAATTCTTTACCGTGAGAACAATAAATCTAAAAGAGAGTTCATTGAAATGTCTTATATTTTCCTTAACGATTTTTCCATCAATGTTAAGAGTGACATTAAGAATCTGAGCGATATATACCACTTCTTACTTAAATCAGATACCAAGAACAATACAACATCACAGATAACTAACTTGACTGATATATCTATTAACAACTAACCTACTTTAATAATAATTTTCATTAACTAAAAAAGATAACATTCCCTTGCTTTTCTTAGATACATCTCAATAAGATATTATTATAATAATACATGAACAATATATTAAATTAAAAAAGAATTTCAATTAAGAAAATTCTAAACTAATATCTCCCCAGACTGGGATCTAACTTCATCGGTTTTACCAATGAACCTTAACGACATAAATATTCAAAAAAAAAACTACTTGTAATTGTCCTTTGCGTTTTAAGTTCAAAGCTACCATACATTTCCAACGTTAACAAAAATAACTTTTTGCACATAGTAACAAAAAACACCACTATGTTGTTACTAGCTAAAGTTTTTTTAACATCATAACTCGACATTTCTAAAATTTACGGTAAGGTAAATATTTTTTATTAGATAATATATGGTAGCTAATTATAATTTATTCTCTTTCAGCCCTGAAGAAGCCAAATTAATTTTCTTTGGCGAAAACCTTAGGCGAAACAATTGATACACATTAGAGTTTTTCTTGCCGATTTCCCCAATATTTAAGAGTTTACTATAAAATATAAAATATATCTAGAATATTATGCAACGTCTACAAAATAAAAATTATAATAATTTTAAACAAACAATATTACAATAATTCAAGCGTGCCACACATTTGCCTATTACTATTGGATTCTTCAAACCAACAAGACTTTTTATCTTTAGCGTACGCCTCTGCGCATAAAAATATAAATCGAAAATAATATATCTGATAGAATCACGCTCTTTGATATCTCACCTAACCTTTTTCCATCTCTAATATGTTGTGTAATTAACAAATTTTAATGTACACACAAAATCCTTAATTGAACTGTATAAACAAATGATTGTTAAATGTTTGTTGTTAGAGAGGTAGTTGTAGAGATGTCGTTTTGGCGAGAACTCCATTGTGAGTGCGAGCAATTATCATTAGTAAAAACCAGTGCCTTTTTCATTATTTTGTTCCTTCAAAATGGATATTGTAATAAAGACGAATACCAGGTAAGGTTAAAGATAAAACTTTTTATTTTGTGTAAAGCGGGTGTGTAAACAATGACTCATTTTATTGTGCTGATTTAGTAGTTTTCGCGTTAAAGATTCTACGTGTTAACATTTATATTATGTAAATATTAACATATTACAATTGGATACTTAATGCAGTACCTACAACAATTACGTGGTTTTAAAAGTTTAGTATGATAATATATTTTGTGTTAAATGCTGCCTTATATTTCACTCTATTTTTAACTTACTTCTTCTTCGATTACGATTTTTCAAAGCATGCTTTCTTGCGATGTAGAGAACCTACTATAAATAATTGTTTATTTGCAAAATAATTCAGACGGATGAAGAAGAGTCTAAAAAACAGTCTTATGTTGGCAAAAAGTTGGCCATAATTATAGTAAATTTCTCTCTATCTCTATGTTCTAAATAAAGAATGATAGATAGATATAATATAGATAGATAGATAGTTTATTGGTAATATGTAAATGAAAACAAAAGTATTTTTTATAAGTCAAAGAAAAAAATATATGTCAGTATAGTTAATATACACATAAATATAAATATAAAACATAGATACAGTGTTTTAACTTATTTAACAATTACTTCTTCTTCTTAACGTGCCCTATCAAGTCCCCTTGACGTTGGCGATTAACATGGCGAAACTGTCTTTGTCTCGAGCTATTCTAAATAGTTGCTCAGCTTTCTTTATTCCTGTCCACTCCCTGATATTCTTCAACCAAGAGTCCTGCTTTCTACCAATTCCTCTGCGTCCTTCGATTTTACCCATCATAATAAGTTGAAGAATATTATATCGGTCCATTATCTACGTGTCCAAAATAGGCCATCTTTCTACATTTGATGTTATCAAGCAGCTCGCGAGCAGCATTTGCTCTTTCAAGGACTGCTACATTTGTCAGCATAGCCGTCCATGGAATTTTTAGTATACGTCTGTGCAGCCACATCTCAAAGGCCTCCAGACGATTAATCGTAGATATTTTTAATGTCCATGCTTCGACACCGTATAAGAGGACTGACCAAATGTAGCATTTAACCATGCGCTTTCGAAGTTGAAGTTGCAAGTTATCATTACAGAAGAATGACCTCATTTTTAAAAATGTCGTGCGGGCTATCTCGATTCTACATTTTATCTCTTGATCTGGATCTAGTTGTTCAGTAATATGGCAACCAAGATATTTAAAACTGGACACTCTTTGAATTATATGACCATCAACATATAATCGTGCATCTTGATGTGCTAAACGGCTAAACACCATGTGTTTTGTTTTGAACAGTTTATGTTTAGGCCAAACTCTCTTCCCACTTTATCAATGGCATTTAAAATAACTGTATCGTCTATATATATATATATATATATATATATATATATATATATATATAAATATATACATATATATTAAGGATCACTCAGACGAGTGGTGGGTTCTTATATCGGTCTCAAGGTATAGAAATAAAAGACAAAGTTGATAGGCTACTTTATCTATTTTGAAGACGTTTCGCTTTCGTATTTTGAAAGCATCATCAGTTCATCTAAAAATTACAATATGAGAACCACACAATCATGGAAACGATGTTCTAATTGTTACCTTAAAAAGACATGTAGCAGTCAAAGTTATTTACAAATATGTGAATAAAACTCAAGTAAATGGACATTATACGGTGTTACTTGATTGGTTATACAATATCACCGTATAATGTCCATTTACTTGAGTTTTATTCATATATTTGTAAATAACATTGACTGCTACATGTCTTTTTAAGGTAACAATTATAACATCGTTTCCATGATTGTGTGGTTCTCATATTGTAATTTTTAGATGAACTGATGATGCTTTTAAAACTCGAAAGCGAAACGTCTTCAAAATAGATAAAGTAGCCTATCAACTTTGTCTTTTATTTCTCCACCTTGAGACCGATATAAGAACCCACCATTCGTCTGAATGATCCTTAATATATATGTATATATTTATATATATATTTTAACCTATTCTCTATCCTTCCATTGTTGGATATAGGTCTCCCCCAGTTCTCTCCATCTTTCCCTATCTTGAGCTGTTCTCTGCCATGTGGGACCTCCTTTTTTCCTGATGTCATCTTTCCACCTCATCTGTGGTCTGCCTCTTGATCTCTTTGCATTGTATGGACGCCACTTTCCGATGGCATTGTTCCATCGTCCGTCTTAGAGACGTTCATTGTGTCCAGCCCATTTCCATTTTAGTTTTGCTGCTTGTTCTATCGCGTCTACTGTCTTTGTTCTGGTTCTGATCCACTGGTTACGTTTTCTATCTCTAAGTGATACACCCAACATTTGTCTCTCCATCGCTCTTTGTGCCTTCCTTATCCTATCCAAATTGGCCTGTGTAAATGTCCATGTCTGTGCTCCGTAGGTGAGCACCGGTATGATACAGGAGTTATATATATATATATATATATATATATATATATATATATATATATATATATATATATATCAGTATATTTATCAGAATTAACAATTACAACAAATTAAAATCGGAAGTAAAATACTCCTCACATGTAAAAAAGGCATTAACTATAAGGTAACTCTTAATTTTTGTCTTAAATTGATGAAAATTAACAGCTTTTATTCTAGCTGGCACTAAGTTATAGAATTTTATGGCTAAATACCTTGAACCATTTCTGGATCTTTCAAGTCGGCCAAATTTTGGTATAAGATTATTGTTAAATCTGGTGGGATAATTGTGAAAATCTACAAGCGCATTGTATTGGCTAATATTTTGTTTAATGTGCAACAAACACTGCATAATGTATACACAAGGTAAAGTTAAAATTTTTAAAGCTCTAAAAGAGTTTCTACAGTCTGCTCTATAACTGAGCCCAGAGATAATACGAACACACTTTCTTTGTTGTGCAAACATCTTATCAATATGACAAGAGTGACCCCAGGAGAGAATAGCGTATGTCAGATAAGGATGAAAATTACTATGATATGCTGTTAAAATAGTTTCTCTGGAAGTCACTTGTACAAGGTTCCTGAAGAGGAAAAGGTGTCGGGAAAGCTTTTTCGATAGATTAACTATATGTTGTTGCCAGATTAATCCTGCATCCAAATATTCCCCCAGAAACTCCGCTCTGGTTACACATTGTGGTAAAGCAAGGTTTTCAACACAAGTGTTATTTCTTAAAGTAAAATTAACACTTTGTGATTTAGAGTTGTTCAAAGAAAGACGGTTAGTTAAAAACCAATTGAATAAGTTTTTTCAGATGTTTGGCAATCAAGGGTGTGGAATTAAGAAGGGTGATAATTTGCATAGAAAGTAGTGTTATCAGCAAATAAAACAGTGTTAACTGTTTCATTTTGAGAGTACACTAGTTAATTAATATATATATATATATATATATATATATATATATATATATATATATATATATATATATATATATATAAGAAATAATACTGGACCCAAAACCGAGCCTTGAGGAACACCAAACAACAGAGATTGTTTTTGAGAATCACACTGGTTGAAGTGAACATATTGATCACGATTTGATAGATATGAATCAATTAGTCAAATAGCATCACTATGAAAGTTATAATAACGAAGTTTTCTAAGCAGAATACTATATGTAACCACAAACCCTTCCAAAATATTGCTAGTAAAATGATCAATAGCTAAAGTTGTTGTTTATTATTTCGGAATCCGTGCTGGTTTATGGCAAACAGTATATTAGATTTAAAATGTAGAATAATTTGATTTTTTAAAATTCGTTCATAAACTTTGATAAGATGGGCAACAAAGAAATGGGTAGATAATTGGTATAATCATCAATTCTTCTTTAAGTGCCGTCTCTCAATCGGAGGTTGGATATCATCATCACTATCTTTACTTTATCTACTGCTGCTCTGAAGAGTTCTAAAGAACTGCATTTAAACCAGTCTCTTAAATTCTTCAACCATGACACTCTCCTTCTTCCTATACTCCTCCCTTTTCTTATTTTTCCCTGTATTATCAGCCTTAGCAGTTTATATCGCTGCCCCCTCATTACGTGTCCCAGATAATGTAACTTTCTTATTTTTATTGTGTTTATTATTTGGCATTCTTTGCCCATTTCTTGCAATACTTCTGTGTTAGTTTTCTTCTGTATCCATGCTATCCTAAGCATCCTTCTGTAACACCACATTTCAAAGGACTGTAACTGATTTGTGAGTTCTTGCTTCAATGTCCAACTTTTAAGTCCATATTGCAGTATCGAAAACACGTAGCATATTAGTGCCCTTACTCTCAGTTCTAATCTAAGATCTTTCTTGCAGAGAATTGTTTTCATTTTTACAAACGCATTTCTTGCTATATCTATCCTAGCTCTTATTTCGGTTGTTTGATCATTATTGTCTGAAATCCAGGTTCCTAGGTATTTGTATTTATCAACTCTTTCTATCGATACATTTTCCAAATGTATGTTTGTTGGTATATTTGTTTTCTTTGTTATTATCATGAATTTGGTTTTTTTATATTTATTTTTAGTCCATATTTTTCACAGAAACTGTTTGTTTTGTTTAACTGTAATTGAAGTTGTTCAGCAGAGCTTGCCATAATCACGGTGTCATCTGCATATCTTATGTTGTTAATAGATCTTCCGTTAATTATTATTCCTTCACTTTGAGATAGTAATGCTTCTTCAAAAATGGCTTTACTATATACATTAAATAGTAATGGGGCCATAATACATCTCTGCCTAACGCCTCTCCTGATTTTAATTTCTGAACTGGGTTCGTTATCTATTACGATTTGTATAATCATCAATAGAGTCTTTATTCATAAACAGACGTACTACCTTTGCAGTTTTGAAAACTTGAGGTTAAGTATTACAAGATATTAAATGATTTATTAAAGTTGTTAGAGGTTGAATAATTACATTTTTAATTGTTTTAATAATTTTTGTGTTCAATCCATCAGGATCTTTGCTGTTACAATTTTTTATTTCTGTAATAGCTAAGTTAA